ATAATTCAAAAGACACAAAAATTGCTTTTGAAACGTGGCCTCGTGTAGGTCTAGGCCGACTTCAAACCCGCTATGTAGCCAAGGATGACCTTGAACTCCTCTTCTGCTTCTCTAGTGCTGGGATTACAGGCATCTGACACCATGCATGCCCAGTTAAAAATGCAAAATATTTTTAAACATGGAAGCTAGCATGTCTCCAAGCGAATGGTTGTACAATAACGTGTGGTCAATCACATGGACATGGATAAAAAGGAACTTAGACCAAAGAGACTGACAGGGTCTACCTGGTGTGGTGGACACTGTCTGGACTGAGGCTGCAACTTGATAGGTCCCCATAGGCCAGCTCTTTACTGCTCACAGAACCACTTTCAGTTGGGAGGAAAACTGGGCAAGGCACAGCATTCCTGAGCATCCGCGAACAGATGCTTCTTGGGAAGTTTTCACCTTCCCTGACGGGAAAAAACTCACTGCTTGCTTTGGTAACTGGGGCTTTAAGGAAAAGGACACACAGCATAAGGTGCAAATTAATGACTGCACACAAGCTCTCTTTGTAGACCACATGGAACAAGAATTCTCCCCCAGGGCTATGGCCCTGGGCAGGGTCTGTTGCCTGCAGACAGGTACAAAGCCACAGCACCCAGTCATACCTTAAATCCAGTTGGGCACCAATCTACAAACTGGATAGTGCGCTTGGTCTTGATGGTAGCGATAGCCGCATTGACATCTTTCGGGACAACATCCCCCCTGTACAACATGCAGCAGGCCATGTATTTGCCATGGCGAGGGTCACACTTGACCATCTGATTGGCTGGCTCGAAGCAGGCACTGGTGATCTCGGCCACTGAGAGCTGCTCATGGTAGGCCTTCTCAGCTGAGATGACTGGGGCGTAGGTGGCCAGTGGGAAGTGGATTCTAGAGTATGGCACCAGGTTGGTCTGGAATTCTGTCAGGTCCACATTCAGGGCCCCATCAAATCTCAGGGAGGCTGTGATGGAGGACACAATCTGCCCTATCAGGCGATTGAGGTTGGTGTATGTGGGACGTTCAATGTCCAGGTTGCGCCTACAGATGTCATAGATGGCTTCGTTGTCGACCATGAAGGCACAGTCAGAATGTTCCAGGGTCGTGTGTGTGGTCAGGATGGAGTTGTAGGGCTCTACCACAGCTGTGGAGACCTGAGGGGCTGGGTAAATGGCGAACTCCAGCTTAGACTTCTTGCCGTAGTCCACCGAGAGCCGTTCCATGAGCAGGGATGCGAACCCCGAGCCCGTGCCGCCTCCAAAGCTGTGGAAGATGAGGAAGCCCTGCAGTCCTGTGCACAGGTCTGCCTGTGAGAAAGCAGATGATGTAAGCGAAGCAGTGCCGCAGCATCCAAGCCCACACTCACCCTCCACCTCTGCCAGGGGGCGCAGACCAAGTTGTCTGTAACATGAACACTGCCCTTAGAAGCAACAACGCAGTGCAGACCTATCAATGCCTCACAACCTAAGTCAGACTCCCAATTCTGATAGATTTGTCAAAAAACGCCCCATCCGCCTACCCTACCATAGTCGACTCTCGAGTAGGACAACCACCCCATAAAGCCTCCTCTGCAATCCTCTCACCAGTTTGCGGATCCAGTCCAGGACGAGGTCGACAATCTCCTTACCGATGATGTAATGACCTCTGGCATAATTATTAGCCGCATCTTCCTTCCCAGTGATCAGCTGCTCTGGGTGGAAGAGTTGCCTATAGGTCCCTGTGCGTACTTCATCTACAGAGAGACCACACGGCTTGAGTCTTTCAGGCCTATTGTAGCCATCGATGGACATACTCAAGGACCATTCAATTCCACAAAGGGCACATTACACTCAAGTCAACAGTGCCCCTCGAAAATGTCTGCTGATACATAAACCACACATGCAATTTGTTTGGGTTTGAGACAGGGTCTTGCAGCTTGACCCAAGCGGCCCTCAAAGAGGACTGTACTGTCAGCTTCCCAGGTGCTGGGATTACAGGTGTGAGCCACAACACCTGGTAAGTCAAAAACCTTTATGGCTCTAGGAAGACAAAGTCAACTAACTGTACCAATGCCAGCTGAACCAGCTCCCTGTGAAGTGAGTGCTCTCTCAGGTAATTCCACAGGAACATGGCTTTCCTACCTATTCCTACAGAAAATGAACGAAGCTGGAAAGCTCTTAAAGTGGGCAGTCACAAAGTCATCTTGACCTTGGCAGAACAGTGCCACCAGGGCACTATGTGGTTTGAGTCTCACAAGCTGTTAAGGGATGTACTCGCTCATCTCCCAGGGGTAATGAATGTGCTC